TGGCGGTTAGTAAGGAATGAGGGAATATAATCCCTATACTACATATGAGCTATAGTCTAAAGACCTAGTATCCCCCTTAGTAAGCCCTATGATGCTCCCCTATATAATTCCCCATAGAACCCACCCTCAAGGAGTTTAGACTATAGCTCATATTCCCGTATCCTCTACCCTAAACCCTAAACCCTAAACCCTAAATCCTAAACCCTAAATCCTAAACCCTAAACCCTTAACCCTAAACCCTAAATAACCCCCCAAATGAGAAAGTGTGGTCAAGGAGCTGATGTCTCCGATGATGGCGCCAGCACGCAAGCGTCCCACCGTCTCGCAGGCAACAGGAAAACAGCCATCAAGCTCTGCCTGGTATATTTCACTCTTACAGACTACTGATATATGTATATATATATATGTATATATATATATATTCTTATATACATATATATATGTATATAGAGTGTGTGTGTGTATATGTGCGCACTAGACTTTACAAAGCTATACCATACAACCCATCCTCTACCATACTCTACTCTACCGTACTATACTATGCGACAGTACAATGTGTGTTATGATGTTTCAAAACTTTTTCTTGTGCTGTATGATATCCTACTGTATCATGCCAACCTGCTGCTCTGCCACACCATCCATTTCTTGCACCTGCGCAGTCAAAATGAGCACATAGAAAGATGCAAGCCTATGTTGGTTGGCCAGACGTATGATATGGCACCTACAAAGACCCTAAACCCTACATACCCACATTCTGGTAGCTTAATCTAAGCTCCTCTGGGAGAAACTAGCCAGGCGGCCTTCTTGAGGACAGAGGCAACCCCATTGACGATCAGCACGAGGGCATCAGAATCCTCCGAGCCAGTGCGTCCAGCATGTGAAGAGCTATCCGCTCTCCCTGAAACGCCATAACCCCACTATTCTATAGTAATTTCCATTATAATTTCCATTATTTGTACACAAGTATAGGGTCATAAACAACCAGAAGCAAAGAAAGAACTGGCGAAAACCCGTGGAAACTCCGGACACGAACCCTATACAATTTCAATAAACCCTCAAATCGCAATCCCCAATCCCTAAACCCCAAACCCTGATCCCTAAACCCTGATCCCCCAAACCCTGAACCCCTAAACCCTGAAACCCTAAACCCTGAACCCCTAAACCCTGAAACCCTAAACCCTGAACCCCTAAATCCCTAAAACCC